TACTCCCGCATTGCGGAGAGCGCGTGTGCGATACGGGAGTATGTAACGCGAGGACTTGTCGCGTAATATGTCCTTACCTGAGCCTGGAATATACTCATTTCGAAGTGTCTGCATGTGACACCGTCGACGCGCGGAAACACACGCCTCGCCCGAGTTCGTGTACTACTACAGTGTCGATACGCGAAACTTATCGACGCTGCAACGTCGAAAAATAGGTGCCTCGCTCGCGTCGAGGGAGACGCGGAGATCATCGAGAGCAAGGAGCTGAGTAAACGTACATTTTCGTCTAACTGCTATCGGGGTTGCACGCCACAGCATTAGCGACGGAAAATGCCATCCGGGTCTTTCGCCGCCGATAGCTCCTCGTCCTCGAAGTGTTCTCATTCGAATTTTCGCGATTGCACGCGACACGACAGCTCGAGAAGTCCGCGTTTCTGGCCCGAGCTTTCGCTGCCGACGCAAGTAGCTATATCGGCAGCGACATAGGAAAATGGCCATTAGCCTCGGAAGGCTTGTCAGAGTCGAATACACAGTTGGAAGGAGATCACCAAATAGAACAAGTAGACCGATTCCTTCCGTGCACTTTCGCCAAATTGCAGCGCGCTCGTCTAACAAGAGTCGCGAAAACTAACACGTAAAAAAGAGGGAACGCTTTCCTCTCCTCGATAGTTTCTGTTCGGAAATTGGATGTTTAAAACATTCAATATCTGGTTGTGGTCAATCAAGTGATGCATTTGACGCGATGAGTCTGGAGAGAGAGAAAGAGAGGGAGGGACGGGGTGAGAGAAAGGGAAGAACGTCACGTCTCGAACACGCCGCGGCGCGAAGCTGTCAGGTGCATCTTCATGAAGACGAGCGCCAAGGCCTGACAAGCTAGTCAAGGTACGTATCGGGCCTCGCGCGCGCTTTTGCCGGAAAGTGTCGGCAAACAGCGAGAGTACTTTACGTGCTAGTGCATCGTTCCGCGCGCTCGCGGGGTACCCTGCTATCCGCGGCCTTCGCGCAAATGTTTGCTCTCTCCGCCGCAATATCTCCCGATTGGGGAACACGGCGTGGCGCATCAACGGAAGACGAGCAGTGACGCGGGAGAAAGGGGTTGCTGGTGTGCCTTGTGTGTCGTCGCGTGTGCCGTCGCATGTGACTCGTTACTCCGTCGCAACATCTGCCGCCGCGCGCGCAGTGACACACACACACACACACACACACACACACACACACACACCAGAAACCAGAAACTTGTTTTTCGTGGAGCGAACGTTTGAAAAAGTTGCGGAAAAAAACAAACAGGGAAATAGCTCGCGAGTGCCGCATCGCGTTCGCCGATTTCGTTGATTGTCTGGGCGGCGGCAACGGCAGCGCGGCCGCACGTATGGACTGCTTGTCGGTGCAACTTTATTTTCGACTTTATCAAACTTGCTGTACAAACCGCGCTACCCATAGCCGCGTCATGTTGTTTCAAAAATTGCACCAAGCGCTTTTAAACACATCGGTAATTTTGCGTAGATACAGAAGGTGCATACACGCTGCATTTTCAAGTAAACATTCGAGTACTTTATAAGCTCATATATCCGCGGTTCTATCATAGCTTCTTCGAATTTATTCATAATACATTTTAAATTCTAGTAAGCTTTGCACTTCAATCAAGAATATATTAAAGTAAAATAAAAGTTCGGTTTACTTACTACATGGAGTTGAATCAACTTTCGCTTTGATAAAGTTTTATAATATTCCTGTAAAGAGAATATGTTTTTCTTTTGAGTACATGATAACGAGCTTTCTGAAAAATTTGCAATCAGTACATTTTAAAACTATTATCAAGAAAATATCATTAGTTGAAGTTAATCATTACTTTAAAAAGAAGGAGAGCAAACTAAGTAATTACTTTTCTTAGCAAAGTGAAATCACATTTCTTTTTATGTGCAAGACTTGTAGTTAACGTTTGGCAACAACGACTGATCGATATTCGCGAAATTAATAGGATAATTGTTGGTCTATGGTTATTCGTACGTTACTCGAAAGAGATTAACGGATTTTTCTTTAGAATCGTCGTTGCTTTTTAATTTAAGTTGCTTGGTGGAGTGCCAATATTTACTGAATATTACGATACCGAATTTATGCGCCGTAAAGTCGAGCGATGTTCGGAAATTATGTGTGTACTTTGTTTCTCACGAGGTAAAATTTATGATCCCCTTGAAAAAGACACTTTCATTCGTGCTAATTTAAGTTTGTTTTTTAATTTAACGTCTTTTACAAGGTTTGGCGCGTCGAACACTTGTTAAGCGAGGTCAACATACCGCGAAGCAAGTGGCATATATCAGCGTTTTTTACGCAGCCAAGTTTAGTACCTGGTTCGTGACCATTAATTGCTTTTATGGCTTTTGTTAAATGGAGTTTGAAAGATATGTGCTTCTTTCGCGGGAGAAACTCGATACATTCCTGCGAAAGTTTAATCCACGTTTCTCTCTGATTTCGCGTAACAGCGTGATATAGCGAAAATATTGATAAATGAATATATCTTTGATAAGATCGTGCTCTGAAATTTTCAAATTTGATTAAACCACGTATTTTTTCGGTGTAACGACACATCCGGAATTGACTTTGGAGGACCGGCATGCCTTCCCGAACGAGCTCCAAATTTAATAAATAATTATCTCCACTCTCGTGCGGGCACAAGCTCTCATGTGGTATCGGTACGTACATTTATCGTGGTGGCTCAGACGGGTAGCAAGAGTCGCTGGGCACACGAAAGAGGAAAACAGTGCCGGCGCAGCGTTGTACCTTGCGCGTTGTTAGCTGATTAAAAAAGGAGAAAGAGGTGAAACGGGCGGTGGAACAACGCGCGCTGGCCGTGTCGATTGAAAAGTTCGGTCCGCGTTCGGCAGTCGATTCGCGTCCGTGAAACTCGCGGAATGAGAGCGAGGCCCCGCCGTACTCCTCGGCTTACGTGGAGCGCTGCCAGACAAAATTAAAGCATTGGGAGTAGCGGCAGGTAGTCGAGCAAAACACGGAGCCGGTCGGTTTATTTATGTGACAGCGTAGTTATAACACGCGCCGGCCGCGGCTTTTCAAAGTAAATGGACGCTCTTCCGATACTGCCCGATACCTTCGATTCGGTAATCGAATACGTGTAGTCCGGCGGCGAAAAAGAATCCGATGGGATTTTCCCACCGCCCTCTGCCGTGTCGTTGCCCTTGTTTTGCCTCGGCGGAAAGTGACGGGGAGTATGCTTTAGTTGTGTTCCGCGGAAATAGCGAAGGGCGATTCTCTGCACTTTTGTGTGTGGGTGTGTGTATATATGTGTGCGGCCAATTTTATACCGCCCGTTTTATACTGTTGTTTGCGTGCGGCACAAGTTGAAATTAATAGTACCAATCTCACACACATTAGTGCGTTAATTAGATACATTTCTTTTTAAAAGAACACAAAATTAAGTTAAGCGAGCGTGTATGATTTTTTAATCGAGTTTCTCGACTTGGTTTCGCCCTCGTTCTACTCCCTCATCGATCTTCTTTCCCCTGAATTTTCAACTACAAACTCCATCCCCCTACCGTCCTTTGATTATTACGATTAAAAATGATATTGTGATTAATATTGCCTCACCCAGAAATAGGGATGAAGTCAGACCAAAAATATTCGCATACGCTCGTCTTGGCTTTATATTATCAAAGAGAAATTTATGTATTTATATAATTATTCACTGAGATTCGCGTTTGGATTACATATTATGTGAGATTTTATTTCGTCTTATCCAGAACGCGAGAACTTAATTATGCTACAAATCGATTTATCTTCCGGCTTGCTGTTGCGAGAGTGATTCTTCCGCGACGCACGTGCGATACTCAAATACGAGCGCTACGGTGATAAGCTCGAGCGATAAATAAGTACGACGCCTTAGGCCTGATGGAGTGCATCGTGTCGTGTCTAGGCGAAGAAGGCCCGAAAACTTTTCTTATCCCGCACGAAGTTCCGTAATCATCGGACTTTCCGCCTCACTTTCCGCGGCACCTGCCGCAGCCGTATTCGCGAGATTGCTTTGTTAGTTATTTGTTGAGGAACTCGCGCGCGCGGTTCACTGCGACGAATAAACGCTTAATGAGCTCGCTCCGTCGTAAAATGTTTGTATAACTTCTCGTCGGTCCCCTTCATCGGCGCGCATCATTATCTGCTTCGCGTTAACCGTCGAGACAAGCCCGTTTGTGCGAGCAGCTCTACAAAGAATTGGTCGACAATTATCAGTGCACCCCTCGGCCCAAGCCCATCCTTTGCATTTCCACGGCGCTTTGCAGCCATCTGTCAGGTTAAGTGACCCCGGGGGCTACCGCGTATTATATCTGCTCCCTGAACCGAATCACCACGTCGAGCCGCGTCTCCTCCCGTTTTCTCAGAATTTTAATGTGAGCTTTAATTAGGTTTCTGTGGCATTGGACACGAGAGATTTACACGCGGTAATGTCTTGCCGAGAAAACGAAGAATAATTGTCTCTAAATCCCTGAAACAGTCTATGATTAAAATTAAGGTCGGAAATTAAGGTCGGAGTTCCCGAGATATTCCGTCTTCCATCTGTTTCCTCTTCGTCTTTCTTTCTCTCTCTCTCTCTCTCTCTTTCTCTTTTGAGAAAATTCTATTGTCCTTTTACATCTTGTATGATAAGAGAAAAGGAAAGGAAAAGAGAGACAGATAGAGTAAAAGACTGAACGGAGCTGCACTCGTAGTAGAAAAATAAGAAACAACGACGCATACTGCTAACGACACAGTTACATCAGTCCGCAATATCGCAAATGGACGGAAATAATGATGCAGTCTCTTCGTATTTCCGTTATTTTTTCAAACGTCAACGGAAGACTGAGATGAGAACTTCATTATTTTAGCGAGATACGGGAATCGCGTTCCCTGCGTACGGTGGTTAAACGTCTGTTTGATCTGTCGCTGACGAATGATGATACGCGAGAAAGCGCGACGGTTTCAATCGGCCGTGTTACATGGTAACGCTCGATACTCACTCGTGTGCAGAACTGTAGATATAGTTTTGATCGTCGGATCGGTGTAGATTCGAATTTCGAATCCGAGATTGCTTAACGACGTCCGGAGGTTCTCGGCGTCCTTCTCGGAGCCCTTACGAGTATTCATGTTCTCGAAGTGAATGTGGTTCAACACGAGAGCCACTCCTCTCCTCTTGTGGTTCATGTTGTATTCCTCTGCGTCCTGATCGAGGCCGACTTTGACAGGCTCTTGGTTTTGGAACGAGTTTCTGCGTGGTCACATTGTTAGATTACGTTAGGAGGATGTTTAGATCGATGTCGCTTGAAAGTATTTAAGGGGATACCATACTTGAAGACTTTACCGACAAAATACTGTGTCTTATTGTAAATACTGTGTCATAAAGTTTATGTCGTATTGGTTTTTTTAAATTTAAAAACTACTTACATACTCTGAAAGCACGTATAGCACGTAAAGCTCTGAAAGCAATAATACATTGAAGCTTTACTCGATACGTGATTAAACATTTTTTAAATTGACATCTCGAACTGTCAGTTGACGCAAATGTTTTCTTGATACAAAAGTTATACAGCTTGTACGTACTGCACGTATGTTTGTACCGCTAACGAAAATTTTAAGAAACATTTATGACTGAATTTGGAGAAGTTCAAACATACATACGAAAAGTTTGCAGAAAGATCTCTATGTATGTATGCGTGGTTATGTTTCCTGCTAGTATGGTAAAACAAAGCAGCACACGTTTATATAAGATATATATGCAAGAAATACGAAAAGAATAATATGATAGTGATGATCGCTTCTACTCTGCCATCCTTTTCGCAGCATCCGCTGTAGATAAAGATAAGAGATTATCTTAAGGATAAGAGATTCATACAAAAGATACGTTTAGAAGATTCAGTAATCTTTTAAGAATAACGAAAGAGATTGATATTAATCAACGGCTTTTATTCCTTCTAAAAAGAAGTCTTTATATTGACGTTCATTTCATTGATCTTCATTGACAATGCGCAATAAATTGAAACTTTCGATGTCTTCGTCGGGAATATCAATTGATGACGAAGGAATCTGCGGGTGAAAGGAATGACGATTACTCAGCGTTATTATACAGAAGAAACAGTAAAATAGGAGATCCTAAGGACAGCTGGCAGGTCCTCGATGGACTAATTACCGTAGATCATACACACACACATTCTCTCTCTCTCTCTCTCTCTCTCTCTCTCTCTGTGTGTGTGCGTTCGCTCGCGGAAATTCGAAAGCGAAAGAACTTCCGTTGTTCTTTATAATTGTCCAGTGCCTTTGTGCGAAAGAAGTCGACCTCGCGGGAATACGCGCGTCAAGCAGTGCACGTCGCACACAAACACGATGACGGGTACGCGGCATTGCGGACGAAATAAATGCCAGTAGCATTTAGCGCAACGTCCTGCTAGGTTAGCGTAATTAGCCGGTAGATGGCTGCAAAATCCTCACTCGAGGACAGTCGTGAGTAAATGGATGGCGCGAAGGGCGCACGGAAAAACAAAGAGAGGACGAAGAAAAAGGGAGGGAGGGAGGGAGAGAAAAACGAGTCGGAGGAAGGGAGAAAGAGAGAGAAAAGTATATCTGAGACGTTTTGCCTCTTTGCAGCTGGTTTCGGCGAAAATATCGGAGCATTTCTCTTCTGAGGCAGGTCCTTCCCCTTTTGCGCAAAATACGCCCGTCTGTTTCGTACTTTCCACTCACGTGCGCTTACGCAGACGGATATCCTGTTTAGCCGAAGGACCCGGGAATCGGTGTGAGATCATAGTGCGGTCAATTTAATTTCAACTCGAATCGCAATCCAGAACTTCCGCCGCCGCCGTTGCGATTCCGCGGCGTTTTATCGCGCGGGAACCGACTCTACCCGCAGCCTCCGTTCGTTTCGCACGTACGCGCGATCCAACTTTCGCGAAAGTTGTCGCGATTACGACTGTTCCGGATCGGCCGACCACGTCGGTCGAAAGTAAATCGTCGGTGTTGTACAGGGATAGTACACGAGGATACGGAAGTGGGAGCCTTGCACTGCGTTGCTGTTGCACTGAATGGGCTATTAAGTCTGAACGCTAACCATTGCGTGGCTGCACGTGTGTTCTTTCGAGGGCTCCGAAATCGTCAAGATATCGCGAGTCGATATACAGTAACTAAATAACACGTGTAATTGTACATTCAATTGCAGATTCAATTTCGGTAAATTGAAAATAAAGCGCGACACGCGAAACGAATCAGATTAATTTGCAGAGGCATTAAAGTCGGGGGAAAGCTCTTATTATTTCTTGTTTGAATTGTGCTTCTAATTGTACGTAGACACGAAATGAAAATCGATCGTCTTGGTGCCCCAGTCTTGGTTCACGTCGGAATTGCTTCTCTAATTGTCGACTCCGAGGACGATCCCAATCAAACGACATGATAGATTTAATATTTTTGCGATCGGGAAACGAAACCGTTAAACGATGCACCCTCTTCTTACTCGCGACAGAATCGCCCAGGTTATTTTCTTGCGTCCCTTTCTGCCTCCGTAACGATAACGAGATTACGTTATTACTGCAGGTCGAAGCAAAGAAACGGTTCTCGTATAAAGGACACTTCTCGTGCGATAAAAAGAACGCTGCGAATCCATCTGTTATCTGTGACTCATCGTTATTTAATCGCCATTTTGTTGCTCGAAGGCGAATATCTTTTTTAGCGTCGCGCTGCCCTATTCGCAAGAAACGCGACGATATTACCAAACGTTAATGAGATATTTTTGCATCTTGGGTAATTATGGTTTTACGCTAAATTGACGAGCGTTACATCTTTCGCCGTTCTCTTTTTCACTCACGACTTCGTGGGTCGGTTTTTCTCCATTTAGAAGAAAAGTTGGTCCCGCGGGATTCAACCCATTCTGCGACGAGGAATCATTTACTTCCCGAGCGTACTGACAATTGCTAGACAGCTTGTGCACCGTGTGCCATTAGTCAGGCCACACGCCGGAGTGACAAAGCAACATATATCCGCGACGTTTTGTCCGCGACAAGTGACACACGTGTAACTATGAATACGCGTCCGTGTGCATACGTACAGCGTTTCTGCCCCAAATACGCGTCATTGATATCTCAACGCTTTGGCGTACATTCTGTCCTACGTGCAGCCTGCCACAGCATTTCCGCGCTTTATCAAGACATCTTTATCTTATTATTATCGTCGGATTAACTGCTTCACCTTCATCAATTATTCTCCGGTATCGTGTTTCTTCTTTAACTCTCCCTTCCTCCGAGAAACGCGCGACAGTGCTTAACTTAGTCTTTGTCTCGCGAATCGATACGGTCCACTTTATCTCCGTATTCGCGAATATTAAGCGATTAATTTACTTATTTATTCTCCGTTGAATTAAGCGATTCTACGAACTGAACGCTTCGGCACACTGTGTTGCACTGCAATTTCACTTGCACTCGTTAGGATTAATCTCGTTAAAAGTCTCATCATTAAAAATAGAAAACGCGCGAACGGCGGCGAGGCGATTAAAACTTTAAGACGAGAAAAAGCTGAAGTTGAAGAGCATGCACAGAGGGTCATCGTGACCGGCGCTTGCGGATGGATGCGCTGATGAATATATGGAAATGACGTATTCGCACAGACACACACGCACACACATATAGGCATTCATACACACGTGGTCACTGTGGACACACAGAACACGTGGACGGCGACATGAGGGACCGCCGACCAGGGAACGAGGAAGGAGGGCGATAGGGAGAGGGCGGAAAGGGAGAGTGCAGGTCGGGATGTGACAAAACCACCGTGGAGCGCTTACAAACTAGTCATAAACGCGGTGAGCCAGTGGCCATTACGAGACAAATGTTCGTCGTGGGAGAAGTGAGTTACCGGCATTACTACGGACTCCGCGGCATTTACTTCGAGCTCTAAAACATTTTGCGCCTAACGGCTTCCCAACTCCGACGGTATTATGAATATAAATCCACTCCGCCGGACCCCCTCCCCCTTGCCCCCTGCATCTAGCCCGTGCAGGCCGCTGCGTTTGCTTTCCGACAATTACAACGGTCATGCGTTATGCGCGGCTGCGAGAATAATCGGCGTTGGAACACCGCGGAATCATTCCCGTGTGTGTACGAGGTTCTTGACAGGAAAAGAGAGAGAGAAAGTTAGAACAAAAGAGAAAGAAAGAACGTAACATTGTACAGACTTGAGTAGATAACAACGCTCCGTACTGTACTTCAATCGCGATAAACTCGATTTCGCGTGACAATCGCCGCTGGCGACGAGAATGTCTATCGCTACAGGTGATCGATTGAAGATACAGCAATGTGATCAGGAGATGCTAGATTGGACGCGAGATCCCCGGAATCTCGTGGATCGAGGAGAGAGACTATTTTTAGTAAAAAAAACATAGTGCAATAGTGCAAGCTTGAAAAAATAAATAACGCCTGCCGCGTGCCGCAATACGTTACGCGCGGCTAACGAACGCGTGGCAATATTTAAACGAAAGATCGAAACGAAACGGTTGTTCTCACCGGAGTTTTAGTTCGCGGTGAAAATTAGAGAAGAATCACATCGTGTATCACAGAGAGTCAGACGTGTCGGTGTCTCGCGGCGATACAGAAAATAGAGAGAGAGAGAGAGAGAGAGAGAGAGAGAGAGAGAGAGAGAG